GTCCAGATTATCTTTTTCCCCGGAATTCATCGCATAGGTGATAGACAAGCCCCACATTCCCGAGTTGATCATCGACGATGTTGACGTCGCAAACCGAGTTATCTGATTGCCGACTTGCACCGTCGATGTTTTCCTTCTTCATACAATGGAGGAAAGTAACAGAAAATTTTCTACTAGAGGATAAGATCCTGTTTCACAGATATGTCACTTACATATTATGTACTAGATTTTCAAGTCAGAATCTCGTTTTCTAACCAGCTCAGATCTCTCAATGTTTCTCAATGGCTTAGCGATTCTAAGTTTCAGTAAAATATGAGAAGACCCTTTGAATTTCAGTTGAAAGAACCGACTGACATTGATGTTATAAGAGATAGCATACCTCCAGGGCTTCGAATAATTGATAATGGGACAAAGTTGCTGATGCTATTTTGTCTTCAGTTTGCTTGAAGAATAATAGAGCTACACAAACAGAGGAATTTTTCTCCTAAGTGCTTGCTTCAATGCTCTCTGATAGGGGTCTGGGTCTAAAGAAGGTACTTGCACGGGAACCCATCGACCAGTAACATACAGCAGAGATTTAAAACTTTGTTGTATTCTTATAGATAAATCATTTTCTCTGGCATGCCAGTACATTACAAAATTGACGAGTGTGTTGAGCTATTTACTAAGTGATGGATCGGTGGCATCCATTCTTTCTCATTCATTTTCTGAAAGTATGGAGAGAACTAAGTTTCTAGGAATTTGTTCAGATTTTCACTTTCTTGCTCCCTTTGCAGTTGGTAAAAGTATCTTTGACTCTAGATGGCAGAGAAAACCTGTTTTAGAAATACCAAAAATGAGACCCAATTGAAACAATACGCTTTAATGTCGTAGCTAGGCATAGAAAACAGCGTTAGCTGATTGGCTGAACTTGGCTGTCAACTCAAAAAACTGTCTGCTTTGGTTTAGCTCTTTCTCACCTAAAAATAGAACTTTTCGTTTTGTTTCATTCAATATTACTTCTATAACAACCTTCTACTATACTACTTACTACGTACTTTCTATAACTTTACCACAACCCTGCAAAAATTTCTTGCCACTGCTCCATTATTCCTGACTGATCATTTTAAAAAGCTAAGGAAACATATTCTTCACTGATTCTATGAGAAGTTATAAGATGACTGATGGATCAGAGCTCTGTTGTCCGGCAAACCAAAGGGAAATAAAGATGGGAAGAATTGATTAATTTTGACAATACTCGCTGGATTTTTCAAGCTGAACACCTCCTATGAAGGATGCCAAAATACTTGCCACATTGTGGTAAAACATTTATACATTACATTTTTACATTTATTACACCAGAGAATAGTTTACTGAAATTTTACACATGTGAAAGAGAGAGTCTAGAGGAGCAATTCATTGCTTCGGCTAGCATTACCAAAACATGCTGAAAATGCAGTTGTTAGGAGGTGCACTGGGGATTGTAAGGATTTTAATTCTCGGTCATGCTAGTAAAAGGCACTTGACAAGTATTTCGGTGTAAAATGTACCAGAGGAGGGAGGAAACACTCTGACTTGTCAAAATAATTCAATTTGTTTGGAAAAACTTACCCACTTTTGTGCGTTAAAAATAAGGGTCTTGGTTGTTTACTGCCCAACCATCATTAGCGAATCAACTGAGGTTGCTAATGTTGGCTGGGCAGTGAACGACTGACACTCTAGTTTAAATTTTGTATAGAAAAAAATTTGTATTAATTTGCAGTATTCTTAAAATAATTCTGCATAGCATTCTCATCACCTAGGAACATGAGAGGAATTGTTTGGTGAAACCAGGCACACGAGGCCAGCCATGGGCACTTACAAAATGGTTTGTCAAGAAACATATTAATACTTTATTCTCTCTACCAGTCACGAAAGTCTACCGATGTTTCATTTATCAATCTTTCACCGACAATAAATTTGAAATTTACAAATGTTTGTCCAAGAAAAAAAAATTCTATAAAAAAAATTGACACTTTAGCGTCCAGCCCACGTACCAACAGGGCACTAATTATTTTATTTCTCAGCCATTTCTGCACGAAATTTCTTGAAAATCTTATGATCTGATCTTTGATAGGTCCCGAACCTATCGGTTACCTTCAAAGATCATCGGGCCGATGATCTTTGAAAGCCAATGGTCAACAATTCCCTTGATGAGCCTCTTTGAAGCCTCTAATTTGTACATGGGCTGGACGCTATAGTTAAGCTTTGACTTGGTAAGTTCGTACAACACTGCAGATTTGAAAGGAACATTATAGTGCATTAGAGCATTTGGCAACAGCGGGTCTTAGCCTGTGCTGTTACTATTTCCTCAGTGATGATTATTACCTCAGAGCACAGTTACTTGACAGAGATAAAAATTGGGTACTTTTCAATGAATTCAAGATTATAAGATAGTTGACAACTCAGGCGACTGGAGTTTTAGATGTACCAAAATAATTTATGGTGATTTTCAGTAGGCTAAAATACTCCAAGTAAAATCTGGAAAAAAAACCCACATTCAGAGACTAGAAATTGAATTCCCCCCTTGATAGAACAAAATTTAAGCTAAATATCAAATACCTGAGCAGTCAAATTTCGGAGTAAAAGCCATGATGAAGATGATGGCCACTGAGAGGATGAGCCGGAATGAGCGCCACTACTCCAATTGGAGCCAGCAGTCCAGCCATTGCTACTTGAACCTGAGTTTTGAGCAGAGCCAGTCTTGGAGGAGAGACCTGGGGGAGGACCGCGTGATTTCGGTGCGCCCCACAGTTCGCTTGTAACTACAGTTGGTGGCTGAGCATCTCCCCAACTGGTTGTTTTACCAGTAGTGCCCAATTTGGCAAGAGGTCTGAAACAGATGTGCGGAATTCGTCAGAGGATATCCGATTCAGTATGAAAACTTGGAGGAAAATTGCTCCACGCAAGCCAAATGATGCTTCCATTAGTATAAGCTAATTTAAGTGAGCATGAATTATTGGCCTTCTTTCAGGGACAGAACACAGTGTTGACTTTCCAGTGCGAATATTACGTGTCTCAACATATGTTTTTATGTAAGTACCCTGCACTCTCCTTGTGGGAATGTGTGTCCTGTTCGATTTTTGATTTTTCATTGCATTAAACTTGTCTATGGATGCTGATCAAAAGTTATCTTTGGGCAAACCGTTTTTGTACAATCCACCATTTAAGTTTTGATAATATCCAGGACAGGCTAGCTGCGTAAAGACGCAGCACGTGTCTGTCTGGTAAGAATGAGAGTGAGAGAGATGAAGGAACTGATTTGGACAAAGAAAAGAAAAGGTGTGCGGAATTCAAGATAAGACTGCCACTCGGCAGGATTGGCTGCTGATCACAATGTGCTTAAACGCACTGGGGTTTTCTGGATTTCCTTCATTACACGACTGACCTGTACTCGCGTGCTGAAATGAGGGATCTCTTCGACTCTTCATCACCGCACTACTTTCATTTATTCAAGGAATTAATGCAAGTTCAGCCGCGGATTATGTGAAAACAAGGCCTTGAAGAGATTTGGTGCAATGAAGACTTTTGATCAGCATTTATAGATAAGTTTAATGCAATAAAATAATTGGAAATCAAACAGGGCACTTCCGTGAGGAGTGTGCGGCTTTACTGAGATCTAAAACTATTCGCAACCCTGTAGGTGGCTCCAAGCAACCACTGTCAGCAATGCAGTTGATGATCATACATGTAAATGGGTTAAAAAACTTTTCAAATTTTAAAATGTTACTCAGCAAACCCGATTTTCATCATTAAGATTGTTTTATACACTGCTTGGGAGTTCTCAGTACAAACATGATTCTTTTGTGCCGGTGAGTAGAAAATAGGAGAAACTTACCCAGTAAAAGAAGAAGGTGCAGTTGAAGAGGGATTGAAGCTCCAAGTTGATGACGACAGAGACAGCGGAGGTAGAGGTAAGTTGTCAGAGGCGGAGTTGTTGGTGCTGTTTGGCGAAGTCTTACTAGAGCTAAATATTTCTGAGTCTTTGATTGAGGCCAGGCTGAGGGGAGATCGTACGACTGATCCAGGGGTGATGCTAGGGTCATCTTCAATACTTTTCAATACACTGCCTTTCCACGGTTTTCCAGGCTCAAACTCAGGCACAAGGTCAGTAAACGCAGATGAGGAGTTGGCCTGTGATGAAGGCCAGTCTTTCTCAGAATCGGGCCAACCAGTGCTGTTTGCATTCGAAACACTTGATGACCAAGGCCTAAAATTGTGAAAAATTAATATTACAAAGAGCTAAAACTGCAGAACTTAAGGGCATGTTCATGTAATTGAAACAAGGTTACCACAAAATTTAGAAAACGGAATTCACTGAGATTTCCCTGACACACTTGGGTAAAATTCCCAGAAAATTAAAGATATGCCATATGGCAAAAAAGACAAAAATTAGAAATAGTTCCCAAGCAATATTTGTTGTTTTAAATGTCAAATCCATTTCAGAAAGCTAATAAAATATGTATAACAATTTTTCCCCAAAACTTTTTGGTCATATCCCCTGACTTTTAAAAATTTCCTGACTGTGGCAACCCTGTGAACTGAGGTCAACAACATTAGTACACATATAGACGCTTTTAATGTTACTTAACAGAAGAGACACTGAACAATTTTTTCTCGAACAGAGCATTGAAAGAGAATAAGTCCTTGCAATTGTTTGAGCTGGTAATCCTTAATTAAAGACTATCATTTAATACGTTTCATATATTTCTGAAATTTCATGATTAATTTTCATTAAGTTTTTCCCTACTTGCTAGGTGATGTCATACACCATGTTTCTTGAAGGGTAATATCTTTAATGATAATGGATAAGGAAACTTCGTTTTTGAATAGATCTGATTGTTTTTTGCTGATCTATAATTTGAAACAGTCATAACATGATTCCGTACAGACCCATTTCAAAATGTAACATTCTCAGCTGAGTCACACGGCATCTGTTAGACTGATGGGAGAACCACAATTAGCTTGACGAGTCATCAAGTTACGAAAAATTTTTTGAGTTGGATTTAGATTAGAATGTGAGATACTAAAACTATGAGAATGAGCAACTCACCCGTCTGGGCCCAGCAGAGGATTTAGTGTGGGAGACGTAGAGCCTCCAGATTTAGAGGTGGTTCCTGGGGCACGGCTGAAGTCTTCACCGACTTCACCCTCCTTGTCCAGAGATGGTAACTTCCATTGATTCAAACGTGATTGCTGGTGTTGGAAACCTGCTCCACTTGACTGAGGACCAAAGAAAATAAAAAATTAACCTTTGTTGATCACTCTCCAACTATCAGATACTACCACTAAAATATTTCATATGCAGTAAGTTAGAGACATAATGTCTGGAATTCTAGACTGCTTATTCCCTGATAAGAAACTGAAGTTATCTCCTACTTCCGCAGACTTGTTTCCAAAAACCTATGTACTTCTTTGGAGTTCGAAATATGAATATTAATTTTCTTCCATCTTTCATTTGATTCTTTGGCTTACATTTAAATTTTTAATTCCAAAAATGTTTCTGATGTTAACACTATCTAGTCAATGAAAGCTTCACTACTATTCTAACGATTTAAAGATTCAAATATGTCATTCAAGATGTCAATAATAGTGGCTCAGGAGCAATAACATAAATTTCAGAGTGGCAGAAGGAGAGATTCCTGATTTGTAACCAATGCAAATCCACCAGGTTTCTGATAGTTTCATCACATTCTTTAGGTACCAATGTTAAACGTCAGGAAATAGAGTAAAAAAAGGGGTTGGATCTTACCAATGGTTCTTTATTAATGTTCAAGTCTGTGAAATTGGTTTGAAGAGCTGCCAAGAGATCCTGTGCTTGATTCTTGTTGAAGAAATCATTGCTACCTCCACCACCTGCATTACCTTGTGACTGATTATTGCCTGATGCAAGGTGGTGTTGCTGCTGATGCTGCTGTGATGGTATCTGGTTTTTGATATACTGCGCTTGCTGAATTACTATGTCGTTCTGCAAAAAATAATTACAAAATAATGAGTAAATTGTAAGGAGGAAATAATCACAATATCTTCAAGGCACATTTTTCACTGCAACATAAGTAGTTGACATTTAGATGGTTACGGAATAGAGCAACATAACTGCAAACTGAAATTTTATTGGTAGAAGAAAAATGACAAGGTAACACATGTTTTAGGGGGCAATTGTTCATCCATAAGAGAAAAGAAAACATTGAATACTTAAAACTGGCATATAGAGCCTGAGAAACTAAACAATTTTTTTTGTTGGAAAAATCAAGTTATTTGCACCCTATTTGCACCCATGGTATACGTATTGATGGCTCTGCATGTATAAAAAATTGGTGGTGATACCGAACACCAGGCCCTCGATACAATGTTATCAAGTTTACAAATTATGCTGCAGGCTATGAAGCTGTCGCTTGGTTTTCTACTAATATCTCAAATCAGTAGATCATGGTGTTACTGACGATAAACAAAAGAAAAATTAGAAACTGGGCAATTCAGCAGAAAAGCATAGAAGATTGTAGGCACCTATTAAGCATGCTTTCTACAGGAAAATTTTTTTCTCAGTTTCCTCCAAAAACTTAATATCACATATTCTGTGCTAACCTCCAACATTACTCTTTAACAACTGAACATTTCCATGGGAAGGGTCTCTTTGCTGAATGTATCAAATAATTAAATGTAGCAAGGAAGAAACACGCTCCTCTGGCACTGGAAAGCTTAAGGCGGACTACAAGATGTCGCAAAGACAAATATCCGAAGGATGTTTCCAAAGATAAAAAATCAGGCAAGATGAAGCTACTATTGTGAGCAATAAAAGCTTTCAAGTCTGACAGTGTTGGATCCAAGTTCCTTACATATAAAATAATGAGAAGCATTCCTGTTCTCACTCTTAGTTTACAAAAAAATTCCTGCACTGAGCTTTAATGATCTGAATCATCAATTTTCCTAAATATTCAAGTGTTCATTGGATTTCCCTAATTTACAACAGCAATTTTATGTCAAAGATTTTGGTGACTTGCTAGGAGCTAATACATGTTCATTCATATGTAACGCCACAAAATTTTTACCTGAAGCCCGGCGATATGTTTCTTGGTTTTGGTGATTTGAGCTGTAAGGTGCATGAATGCTGAGTTGTTGCTCTTCCCAAGAGGGTTGCTGCTGGCATGTAGATTTCTCTGCTGGATAAGTTGTTGAAGCGACTTGATATGTTGAAGTAACTGATTTAAAAGGAGAAGAGTCTGAGGAGCCAAGGGCTGATTCAATATCTGTAAAGTAAAAAATGAAGAGACGGTTAAAGTATCACTGACTTTAAGATTACTGTTGAAATGTTTTCATACCAGGTGCGCTTTTGTCTGATTTAGGCAAACTGTAAGGGTGAGAACAACATTAGCATCAAATCCTGTAAATCTGAGATTTATGGTGAGGGCCACGCTCCATGATCTGGAAAATGCTTCTTTAGGCTCTATTTCAACCAAAGAGCACAAGCTTGGCTAATTTTCTATTTTGCTTATAATACAAAATCTTTTGATTGTAAAAAACTCACAAAAAACTGGATCTCCAGTCGTTTCTTGCCAACTGGTTTTCGTCGTCCCATTGTTTTGACCAAGAATTCAATTTAAACTGAGTCTGATAATCAGGACATGAACAGATTATCATTACCTCTTCATTAGACCTTGGAAAGACAGCGTGTTTTGACATTCACATGATTTGACGAGTATACTCATCAGCGCGTGCCTGGGACACATCTAACTTGGCATATTACTTGCCATCCCACAAGTTGCTTTGTGATTATTTTGGTCCTATTTTGTTACGAGTTCCCTGCATACAGCACCTCAAGTACTAATAAGTGGCATATTAACACCATGTGTGGCCAGTGTTCTGTTGCCAACCTAAATAAACCCTGGTTAATTTATTAGATCTGTGCATTAAAGTAGTTCATTGAAAACCTGTCTAGTTATCATTGTATCAATTCATTGTAGTGTTTGTTCTGTTGTGTGGATGCAGCAGGGAAATTAATCGAAACACACAAATGGGTTAAAAGGACAGTCCACATCTTGTTATCAACCTTACTTTTAAGAATCAATAAAAAGAAGGCTGTTCATCATTATTCTGAAACTCTTTTAATTAGCTGTGATATCAGAAATAATCCATTATTTGAGCTGGAGAAAGAAAGGAAAAAAAAAAAAAAAAAAAAAAAAAAAAAAAACTTCCTGGACAATTTCCTTAGGATTTTGCCCAAATTTAGGGTGAAAAAATATTGATGAAAAGATCCACATCTTTGTTGAGTGAACTAAGTTCAATAAAGGAGAGAAAAATGGCATACCTGCTGATTAAGATACCCAGCTTGAACTGCCATTGTGATTTGCTGAACCAAAACACGAAGCTGCTGAGGAGTCGGTTGATAGCTCGAGTTCCCTCCTCTTGAAGACTAAAACAGAAAACGGAAAGTTCCATGAGACTTTAAAGCTGGCAGAAAAAAAAAACGCCAGGAATTTCTTGGAGTGAATTCAGTGACTGTTACCTTGCCTTTCAACATCAATTTCAAGCCCAAATATTTTTAAGGTATTTAATTTCATTGCTAAGAGAGTATCATATTGGTTCAATAAAAATACTGAGTTGAGTGGTCTTTCATAGAAGGAACTTCTTCATTGCTTGAAACTTTTGCGAGGGGATGAGGAGGATAAAATATGAGAAGTTCGTGAAATTAAGGGTATTATTAATTTTATAATTACATAGTTTACTAGAGTAATTCAATAGTATTGAGCTGAGGTGAGCCAGCTTACTTGATTGTCATCTGACAAATACTACAAATCCTCATTCATGTGGAAGGGGGAGAGAAAAAGCTATGAAGGATTGCGACATTTATGGACTTGGATTGAAACTGAGGAAAAAGGGGCTTAATATTTGTAAAATATATCAAGGTTCCTTTGAATTTAAAAAGACTCTCTAGTAACCAGTCCCAGGAAATGACAAACATGTTCGTCTCTCTAAAAGACTGCAGTCATAATCTATGGATTGTTTGTTCTGTTAACATAAAAAGGTTAACTGGAAGAAATACCATCAAATATTCCTAACTTCTATACAGAGATAGTTTCCCTACCCTTGAAGCCAATTAAATTTGTTTAGATAGAGCCAGGGCAGCATATTTTCCAAGAATGACATGCAAAATGGTAATATCTACAAGACAGGTGAAATTCATTGCAGAGTGTGTGAAGAGAAAAGTCGGAAAAAATTATCAGTGTTGCCGGATGCATCTACCGAGGGGTCAAAAGTGCGCTATTCTTTGATAAATGGAGGAAAAGCTGCGCTTAAGTGACTGGAGATTTGTTTGATGGCTGAAGTTTAGATACAAGATGGTGTGTTTCTAAAATAAGTTCATAATTCTGTGAAATCAGATTAAGTAGGAAGGAGATATCTGATACACAGCTTGAATGTTAGATAGAAGCTAGCAAACTTATGCATACAACAGTTCTGTACAAAAAAAAAAAAAAAGAAATTTGGTGACTTAAGACACCTACTACTGGCAACACTGAGAGAAGAAATTTGTCAACTGCAAGCATGAGTCTGACATGGGAACAAATATTTTAGAGTTTACTTGAGAGAGAGATTGGGGTTCAATCTGATTATGCAAACGAGAAAAAAAGCCTAAAAAAATGGCCTCAGAGTGAGAAAATAAAATGCAATCAAGAATAAGACTATTTCTTTTCCCTAACAAAGTTGCACTTCAGTGAAATTGATCTTAGATAAAACTGGTATTATTGAGAATAATGAAGAGTTGAGGGACAGATGGGGCCACAAAATAATTGTAAAATGACCTCCATGCACACTTTCCCGAGAAAAATAGCAGTTGAATTGCAGTCCTTTTCATGAGTGCAATAGCCTAAAGATTGTGTAAACGTGACCATGACCTTCAGTTAACCAATGGAATCAACCAATCAAGAAGCCTATGCATCCACAAATCACACAAGGAAGCCGACAATATTTGAGCTCGGAACTACTTTTAAAATTTGACTTAATAATCAATTCTTAAGCAACGGTTGAAACTTACTTGCTAACGCAAGAAGTGGAGTTTTACGTACAAGGCTCAACAAATTTTGACCTATCACAAAAGTAATTTAGGAATCATTTAGTACTTATAAAACCTACTTTTTCGAGTGTAAAAAATCACCTTTGGAGAGCGTGTGTGTGTGTGTTGAAAAATGGAGGTGTTGGTGCGATAAATGTCAATGCCAATAAAAGGTTGGCTAAGACTAAAATAAGTATGATAGTAATATCTTAGGGACTAATGATTATCATTACAAATTATATTGACAACGAGGAACTTATCTCACAAAACAGTGCAGATTGACTACGACACAAATAACAGCAAGTCAATAAAGTTGAGTCAGACCAAACCCAATAACTTCGTTTGGATGTTGTGCCATGAAAGTTTTTTAATAATTGAAGCATCCTATACTGCAGTTTGGTTGGCATATGTATTAGGAGATATAATGTGATTAAGTGTTTGATACACCTTATCATGTTAATGAAGACTATTTTTGGTTAGATGGATTTTACCAGGATAAGCTTAAGTGCATTTCACGCCTAACTTCCTCTTTATTTCACCATTTTTTTAGCAAAGAACTAACCAACGGAACGAAACTGACCTATGACAGTGCCTGCTTTGTGTAAGTCTGAAGTAAAAATAAAGATAGAAATATCTTTTAATGATCATACAACCAAAATTTAGAATGTTAGGAACTGCTCTGGGTTAAACCCTTTCGGTAGATCAGTGGTATCCATTTTATTTGTAATTCATTTCTGAAAGTGAAGCGTGAACCAAGTTTCTAGGAATTTTTTAAAATTTTCTTTAACCCTGGGTAAAGAAACCCTGTTATGAAAATTCACAAAAAGGGGCCCATTTTAAACGATAAAATTGGCAGACTTGCATGACGTAGCAAGGAAGGGGAAACGGCATATGCTGATTGGCTCAACTTAGCTTATCCCCTTAATACGTCAACTCGACTGTCTGCTTTGGACGGATCAGATTTTGATGGGCTTTTTGCTCTCCTTGGATATGGTTCTTTGAAATTTTTAATAAACCTGCTGGATCAATCACAAAATTTTACTTCAGAAAAATTTCATATAACCCTGCAAAAATTCCTTACCACTGCCCTATTGACCCTCATATTCTAGGGCATTTAATGTTGAGCTTAGCAATGCACAGGATTTTATATAGGTTGGTAATTTTTTTCCACATGCAGAATAAAGCTGTTAGAGAGAGTTGAAGGCATTTGATGAACAATGAGCATTGCGCCTTAATTTTTTTTGTAAATCATCATGATGTCCTTACAGTATACACCTTAGTAAAGAATATGTTGCACATGGGCAAAAGTTTTCTGATGAAGATCAAACTCTTTCCTCCGGGGGAAAAAAAAAAAATTACTTAAGTCAGCAAAATTTATGAGCCCCTTGAATTAATTTATGCTACAAACAGCCTCTGTGCGCAAATCAAAGCACAAAGAATGATTAATAGAACAACTTGCAATAGAACATTTGAAGGAGGCTTTTTCGGAAGATGCAAGTTAACAGAGATAGCACATACAGTTCATGGACGATACATAGTCCTTTTGTGCTTTTGTTAAAGCTCATGCAAATACTTGGAATGTGACTATCTCATGCACAATACTGCACTGACAGCTACAAGGTAACCATTCTTTGATTTTCTAGAAAACAATGATTCAAATTTCAAGATAGTATGGAAGAAAAACTTGAGGTCTCAAAGAGACCTTAACTTGGGACCAATCGTCTTGATAAGATTGTGAAATGCCACAAATTAACTTCAGGTGAATTACAATTGAAGTGAGAATACACAAATGAGCTTCCAACTCCATTCCTTGGAGGAAAGTGTGATAAATTACAACATCAGATGGACCAACTGTCGAATTAACATGGATCTAGTCCAAATATTTCAGTAGTAATTTACGCAATTTTATTGGTGAGCAGCTCATCTTTGATAAAAAATACTGAAATGAACTAAATAGAATTGTTGAAAAAATAATGATAAAAAAAAAAATTAAATACATGGTTGGAGAGAGGAAGAGAGACTGAACCCAAAAGAGTTACGAATGCAATAAGAATGGATGATTATAAAGTGAAAAATAAGGGTTTAAGTGATGAATGATAAATAAATTAATAATAATAATATAATAATAATAATAAAAAGGAAGCAAGTCACGATGCGAGGAGAATCAAGAGAGCAAACGGACATGTTAATGGAGGAAATATTTACAATATGAGATTCAGAGAGAAAGAGTGAGAAATAAATATTACTGGAGCACAACGCACTTGATTGAAATGTGGTGGTTGCTGACCGGCTGTGGATGGCGGTGGCTGAGAGAGCAACTTCTGATGGGGAGGTGGGGGAACCGACGGAGCGACACCAGTCTGTACCGGATAAAACAAATTCTTAGTTTTATCACTTTTAGGTCATTTACTTTTGTCCTAATTAAAATAGTGTACCTTCCAGTTGAATGTTATCAAAACAGCTGAAATATCTTAAATTGCCGTTCAGAGCTTATCCCGTGTGCCAGTCTAGTTGGAGAGAGAATAAGGATGGCTTTGGCCATTCATTATTCAAAACTAAGGAGAGCATACTAAGTTCTCTGAAAAAGGAATGAGTTGAAGTTTCTGTCCTTCAATTCTTTCACAATTTGTTGAGTGACAATTAAGGCATGCAGAGTGCATTATTTGGTGTCTCCAAACGTAAGCCAGAAAGGAATCGAGAATGACACCATGGCCCTAAGATATTGACGCCTTTCTTTTGTGATACGCTTACAAAGGCCAACATGAGTCTTCCTCTCTTTCATAATAAGTTTCTGCGACATTGAGAATTACTGTTTTCTTTTCTCCCGCCTTTAAGATTTACTAATTGCACAGTGGTAGAAACTTGGTAGAAGCTTGCTGCCATCCTTTCCTCCACCCGCAAAACTAAATTGAAAGGACAATAGAGGTTTAAATCTGGGATCCTCCCTCAATCTTCTCTATCTTGCTACAGGTGGTGAATAATCAATATAAATTGAATATATCAGGCAAGATAACTTTACTTTGTTACCATCCTTCTTTGCTAAAATTAATGAACTCATTGGTTTTACTGACACTGAGATTGCTCCAAATTTTCTTTCTAGAGTATCTCTCTCTTAAGGATGAAATTTTGAAACAGCAATGACTACTTGAAAGAGGAAGGAAATGTCTTCGGATATTACTTAAAAAAAATTAGAGGAAAAAAATGGACATAAATTTCGGTAAAACTCAGAGGTAATCAAAAGAAATCAGATGTTCTAATGAGGCAAATATATACTGGAAGATCCAGTCCTTCATCAAGTCAATGTAGCTTTCAATCTACTTGAAGTGAATTGCTTTCCCAATTCTGATTCAATGGATCCCTGGCGAGTGTATTATGGAGGCCTTGCACAAGTACTTTACATTCAGTACAATTTCATAGGAAACACGATGGTGTAACTAGTTTTCTCCGAAATAAATTCTTGAGCTCAAAAAAAATCTGAAAGTCAGGACTGTTACGATGGGGATAGCTTATGCTACAGTGTAAGTCTACTGTAGATCTGCTTAACCTCTCCATGCACAAATGGGGAGCAAATGCATTAGCAGGGTTGATGTGGCTGCAACCTTGGAGGCCCCATAAAAAATGAGCAACTCAGCTATAGTTTTTGCTGCCCATCTTTGCTCGGACAGTTTTAATGGGGTTAGAGATGAACTCTTACCATGAGGTAAACGGCCTCAACTTTGAGATCTTATGAGTTGGTTTTGGAGGAAACCAGTGACACCATCGTTCCTTGCAAAATTTTACAGATGAAAAAGTACTTACAGTTTGCACCACGAAAAGTGGCAGGTGAGGGGCGGAACCAGTCGGCCGGTCCAGTTTATCGTTGAAGGGCTGAAGCGAAGGTATTGGCCCAGTCGTTACCCCGTCTCAACTACGGGCCAATACCTGCGCTTCAACCCTTCAACGAAAGACTGGACCGGCTGACTGGCTCCGCCCCTCACCCACCACTTTTTGTGGCGCGGACTATAAACCAAAAATTCATGCGTGTAACAAGAGCTTCACTGTTTCTAAATCATGGTTATATCCTATTTGGATGTATTTGAATCAAGGAGAATAACTTTTCATTGCTCCTCTCAACTTTTAATTTAGGGAAATTCCGCAGCATAAATTCACCTCAGGTAAATGTTGCTTTGAAAATAGTGCCAGAATGACAAATGTGTTACGTAAAGATGGCACTGAGTAAAAATTAAATTGCAGATCAAAACATATTGCTCCTCCTTCAATTAAGGCAATATTAAATGCTTGTTACACCTTCAGGTATTATGCACATCAGTTATCAGGAGAAATCACCTGGTAGTAGCTCTTGAGCACTGGCGGCTCAAACCATCCCCCCTAACTCAAAACCTGATAAGATACGACCAATCTCCTCTGTAAACTGTATTAAAATTAAAATACAAGGAAATATATACGATCTTTCTTTGATTTCCTCATGCAGGTAGATTCTGTTGGCATAAATGCTTATGATCTAAGTATGTGATAAAATGAATGAATAGAAAGAGATGGCTCAAGTCTTCGTATTCTAAAGTTTGTGAGATCTTCTCAATTTTGCAAATTACTTTTTTTTTTCCTTTGGAGTTCCATTTGGATTTTCGGAATTCAACTCAGTGTTTCACCTTCACTGGGTGCAAAGCGCTGATAGCGCGGCGCCTAGGAAATCAGGCTTTGGCGCTTGAAAATACGACGTACTGAACCTAATGCCTAATAATGTTTGCAGACATAATTTTTGTGGCGCTCTACAGCTTCTAGATTCAGGAACAACCAACACAAGATATTTTTTAAAGGGGAAAGGGGGGGGGCAAAAACAGAAATTGACTTTACAGGGAGGCCGATTTGGGGAAGGGGGGGAGGCGGCGCCGCCTTTGGTAGGATAATTCTCAACTTCAAAGAATTTTTGAGGATCTCTCCGATCGATTATGAAACGATTAGGAATAGAGATGAAGAAATGGTAATATAATCTTTTCCAGAAGTGAATCTCCAAAAAAAAACAAAAAAAAAATTGGAAATAACACTGAGAGTTACAAAAAATTACTGCATCTTATCCCAAGTATTTCCTCAATGTTGTCAAAATGAAAGGAAAACAATCCCTTCATCAGTTAAAAAAGATGTAATGCTATCAGGGCTTCAGCTGCTTCAAATGAACTGAATTTCTAATAGAAATAGAACGGTTTAAAAGATCTTACTGGAAGGGAGAATACTCATTCAGTGAGCCAGGTATAGTAGAAAGAAATGAGAATTTGGATACAGCAATACAGCTGGGAGGGAAGGAGGAGAGATAAACGAGACAAAAATTCAAGAACACAGAACATAAACCAAGAGAAAACCTTTCACACATTAAACTATAAAGGATAAATAAAAACAACATGAAAACAAAACTAAAAAGAGAGAGGGAAAAAGAGGGGAAGAGGGGAGAAAGAGGAAGAGGAGTTGGACAAAAAAAATTATGAATTCCTTCATCACAGAGATTCACTGTTACTTTGATTCAAAACAAAATAATTTGTAGCATTTGTCTATTAAAAACTTCCAACAGAGCAGAAAAGGGAGCTTGCCTATAAGGAAATGAATGAAAAATTAAGATGAGAGCATTGGAAGGATCTGATGTTCACACCCCTTACAGCCTGTGAAAGAGCTTTGCGCAGTTTTGAGCATCCCATTTCAAACAATACTGCAGCAAAAGCATAATACAATTAAGATGTGACACTCTGGTTCCACAATAGGGTACAAATAAAAAAACAACAACTCCAGTACCTACTTTCACTTTTTTCACCTGTCTTGGAAAGCAGGAAAGAAAAGATTTCTAAAAAACGAGTTTTTAATTGAACAACTGCAACACAGGACTGTCTTTTGAATACAGAAATTACAGCAATGCGCATTTTGGCAATTCAAAGATCCTAAAATTCCCAATTTGTAAGGTTCTTGGTGACCCTACCAGGGTTACTTGCAAATTCTAACTTGAGGAGGAGGCAATTAAAACGAAGGCAAAGAATTCTGTATAAAATGAAGAATGGGAAATAATAAGTGAGATAACTAAGTGGGGGAGTGGTGAAGAGGAAGAAGAGGGTGTTAAAGAAAACGGGAAAGACTGAATCTTTGTATCACAACAAGACGTTTCTGCTATGACTTGAGTGAGAATAGCGAGAAAAAATGATAGAAAAAGAAAAAATCACACCACACAAATGAGATATTAACTCAAAATTTAAATTAGTTGATCAGTGAAGAAAGTAAAGAGGATATAAGATGAGAAGTAGGAAACCTAAGCACTTATTCCGATTTACAGCCCACCTCCCGATCACTAATACACTTAAATGGCCCCCAAACATGAATGACGAGGAGAAAGATAAGCTGTGCTACTTCAGCAAAAAAAAAAAAAAAAAATGTGAAAAGCTTCCCTAGATTGTGACGTTCTTCTTGAGGGCAACAGAGATGCTATTTTGCCTCCAAACAAAGAAACAAAGAGAGAAAAAAATAAATAAAATAAAATGAAAGAGATGTTGTATGTCTAATATCTCTGCCTCTCTTCCTAAATAAAATTTTTCACCAGGAAAAGAAAAAAAAGCTAAGATGAACTAAAAGGGAGGGGAGGGGGCATTGAGTTTAAAGAATCCTACTTGGAAAAAAATATTATGCCGATGTTGGAGGGTTCATGAGGGGTCTTCACTTCTAGTGCATATCCTGTTGGTGCCTAAAATAAGTTTTTTATAGTTCTCAAGTGACAAAAGCGTAGAGTAAAAAGTACAAACTTTCATGATCAAGTTGACAAGGCTTTCTGATGTTCCCTCCATGAATCGGACACCCGTTAGATAGTTCACCACAATTGAGTAAAACTAAACATGATTCTCCCGAATATCCTGACAAGGTAAGGGCAGAACTATATGGTGCTGATCTCGATTAGTACTTCTTTTTATTTGCAACTGAGAGCAATCAGCGTAAATAGGAATTTCGGTTATCGAGGGCGACAAAAGCTTCTTATGAAAAAAATCCTCTTTTTGCTCCCTACAGAGAACTTGAAGCCTATCCTTTTTAGGGATCCAACGTGAAAAATGGCATGAAAAACAGGGAAAAGGGCTATGAAAACGATACAATTAGAGAACAACCCTATGATTTCGTACTCTAGATTATGGACAACCATTTAGTCACTTAATACACCTGATCTAACGAAGAGCATTGACACTCCTCCTTCGTAGGTTGAATTATGATTCTCAGGAATTCTTTCTATTACAGCAAGAGCTAGCTGACCTGCTTCGGCAGGCCAGTTCAAAGTTTGAGTGCAGTGGCTTATGCTTCCTTGGACCGATTTTCAGTCTCGGTCTTTGGTGTTCGAAAACTTGAAATTTGAATTTCATTACTGAATAACAAATGAACTTAACTTGCTAGCAATTCTGTGATAATTTAAATATTTCAGATCTTACTTTATAGGCTTAAAATTAGGGAGGCTCTCAAAATCTGACTGATAAGACAATGTTAGCTCACGAACTTTTAAAGGATACTACAATAAAAAAAAAAACAAAAAAAAAAACATGAGGACTTAAAGTCAGACTTGAATTAGTTTCAACTCTGCTAGGCAACTCAAAAATTAGCCATTTAGAATTCTTCATCTTGCGCTCATGAGCACACAGAGTTTGATGGAGAGGCAACTACTCGGACAATTTGCGCAAAATACTATCTTTTAAAGTGCAAAACTGAAATGCTTCATCTAACAGCAAGAAATCGGTTTCATTCCAAGATTAAAATCTCAGGGCAATAATTCACCACGGAGCAGAGATAGAGACCGTAAAAAGGCTTCAAATGTAACTGCTACTCGGTTTCAAATACACACACTAAGCAAGTTAGTGCTGAAAAGTATTGTTATATTATGACTATCTTGAGGGAAGTAAATAGCAAAGAGGCAAAAAAGGGCAGCTTAATTGTTGGAAATTTTGCGGAACATTCTTAGTTCACACATTAGACAATTCTTGAAGTATCATTTCCACATACCAGAAATCAGAAATGAGATACCATTTTCGGCCTTAAGGTGGGTCAATTCCACCAAAGGGAACTCTATCTCAACTTGCTGGTACTGGCAGGACAAAGTTCAACATCTCACAACAACTAACAACACATATCTAAACTAAAACCAAAACACAGCTGACTGCCTTCTACTGGTCTAGTACCTGGGGGAAAACATAGATTGATAACTGACAAGACATGAGAGATAAATGGACTTACCGGAGGAGCGAAAGGCATCTGCTGCGGAAAGCGAGGCTGAGAGGGAGGGAATTGCGTTGGGTCAAATGGAGCGGCAGCGTCGGGACGCCAGAGATCAGGAGCATTAGCACCTCCCACATTTCGCGCTGGGTTCAGCATTTCTAGAGCATCTTCCAGAACCATGTTGCTGACACGCAATGCGTTTTCAATATCATCTTTCTGTGAATTAAGAATAAGATTTTACCAATAAGCACTGTTCTCATATAATTTAGCATGCTGTTTTAATTCTTATAGTGATATGATTTGTCTCCTCAACGTAATGAACTATTCCACTGAGAAAGCCTAGTCCACAGGTTGCGAGCTTTAACCCAACTCCAGGGCTTGAATTTTGAAGAAAAAAGAAAAATGGTCCTGCCCGTCAAGCCACCACTGTGCCTCCTTTTTTCTAGAGGCGGTAGACAAGACTGAAATAAAAAATAAAACTAATATCAGGGTGCCCATTTAAATTCTCTTTCCCTTTCCCTTGATGTTCTAGGTTTCTGCTAAACCTTGACGTTTTTGTCTCCTTGACTTCTGCTGGTTTTCTTTGACCTTTATCTTCAGAAAATAAGAAATACAAAACTAAACATAGATCAGTACCAAATACCAGTACAAATTTATATTGGCTCAAAATTCAAAAGGAAGAGTTTACATCAAATCTGGAGAGAGCTTTGCAAAATTCAGTAGCTGAGTGCCAAGAAGATATGCAGAAAGTTGGCCATGCCGCAAACCGAGAGGCGCATTACTGTGGTTACACTGTTGGCATGCCCTCAATCAACAAAACATGTTAAAACAGGAGGCAAGATGAGTGATCTACCAGTCTTACCTTGAAACCCATATCAGCAAGAATTCTGAACTGCTTGCTAGACCAAATGATATCTTTAGTCAACGGCTTTGGACCCTGCTTGGGAGGATGGCCCCAATTTGATGGGTCAACATCACCATCAATCCACGGTCCGGGTGCATTCTTCGGCGGAGCCGTACCAGCCCAACCAGATGGTATCGGTGGCTCGTTCCAGTTACCCGCAATTTTGTCATCACCCCAAGGCACGCTTGAGTCTGGGCCACTTCCAGGGTTAGCAGATCCATCGCCCCATCCTCCGTTTCTGCAAGACAAGATGTGACGTGATTTAAACTTTAAATCAAATTCGTTATAAAAGAAAGAAAAAAGTTAGAAGTTGGTACCCATAAATTTTATTTCTAGGATGTTTAATATATAACTGAAAAAAAAAAAAGTCCAAAACTTCAAATGAGATATTCAGTTATTCAACACAAATTCAAAAGATCAAGTGAGGCCCATAACTATCTGAGCAACAGAGAGAGGGGCTACACAATAAATGATAACCTTGCTTCTTTTCCAGGAATTAGATCTTAGGTTGAATTGTCAATTGCTGTTTGGAACTTGGAGAATAAAAAAGAAATCGAACATCGATGGCTAGGGAACAGTACAGTCTATCTGCGACCTGAGGATTTTGCAGAGCAAGAAAGAAGAAGAAAATTGAACCTAGATTTGCATTATTTTTTGAGGTACATTGCAGCGCTCCTGTGCGGAATTTGAAAAACTAAAAACATCTACTTGCGTACTTCAATTTTCAACATAAAAGGCGTAACATGATGAGTCCCTTCATCCGAGAGAAAGAGTTTTTCTTTAGTTCACTGAAGAACGATAAGTTTATTACATGTAATAAGGGCTTACCTAGTCGGGTGACCCCAAGAAGACGGATCAGGCTTCATGTTGGTAACATTTCCAGGCATTCTATTTTGAGGGATGGCAGGGCCGGGCATTCCATGAGCCATATTAGGATTTGGCATTTCTTTCCAATGAGTGACTTTATTGTTACCTGGGAGAATAAAAGTTTCATTTAGGAATAATGGAGGAAATTTTCCGTTAGAGCACGGAAATAGTAAACAGACAAAGCGAGTAAGATCAACGATACATTATACGAAGCATCTGATGTAACAACCTCACTCAGGTGAGTTTTTCCACTGTTAATGCTGAGAAAAGATTTTTTTCCTTGCAGGTAAAGTTTTTCAATTAGTACAACTAGCTGCTCGAAAAGTTGATCAAACTTCTTCATCCAAGAAAAGCTAACCCAGGGATCTATTACTATGGAGGGAGACTTATGAAATAAAATGAGATATACAAGAACCCTGACTCAAAAAGGAGAGGTTTATGATCGCCATCGCCAGAATTTTTCTACTACATAAAGACCTTGGTTTATCGGAACATCATTTAGCGGATCAATCTTCCGGTCTTTTCAAGGGCTTTAAACTAATTCAAACTGGCGGATTCTGTGATTTATTCATCAGTCCCTCGAGATTCGACGAATCAAGGTCTTACTTTAATCCCTTCGAAAGAAGACAAACATGTTTACTTAAGAGTAAAGCCTGCCAAATTTAGAGTTACTTCTAGTTATCTTTGTATAGGTACCCTGATTGAGGGGTTACGAGAAATTTTTGGAAATTTTGAAAAACTACTCAGTATTAAAGGTCATTCAGTTAGATTGGCACTGAGATCTGCAGCAGGGCTAGATTATTTTCTTTGGCTGAGAAACGAACCTTGATTTCCCCATAGAGCTGTACCGTCGTCATAACCAGGCATGTTTGGCATGTTCCGTCTTTGAGCAGGTGGAGAGGGTTCGTCCCAGCCATTGGGTTTTCCTCCACCAGCGGCCATGTTCATATCATTAGAGTTGGGACCAGTCCAATGGTTTACACCAGCTGATAAAAGGTAAGAAAGGAAAATTAGCATTGAAAAGAATCATAATACAATTAATTTCAGCAGAAACAAACTCAAACTGTGGAGCAGAGATTGCGGCCATATCAACATGTTTTTCACTCCAAGACTTGGCTTGGAAATCAATAAATTTTCTAGTACTTGTTTGAAGTATGTGAAATATCCACTTAGATCATCGGCACTTGCGTAGTATCATACAGGCAGACAATTAAAGAGTTGGGTTTGCATCACATGCCATATTTTTCATTTCATTGTTTCTGCTTCTTCAGTGGTTGCTCCAGACTGAAACAGTCACGATGACTGGCGCGTTTTCATCGTTTTGTTGTGTAATAGAGGCCAGTCTACCCATCCTCCAAAAACTTAATTGCAGAGTGCTAGTTACAGACATAACTGTGTAGGGTGTCCAGTATTTTTTAATTTTGAAAAATCCTGATATTTTCCTAATTTTTCCAGATATTTAAAAAAAATTCCTAATTTGTTTCATTTTGAAAATTTCTGATATTTTCCTAATTTTTGATGAGGCCTTCACTATACGACACAAATGCTACAGGTGAGAAATTATCGGAAGCAAAGACGGCGCGACGCCTCCTAGCATGGTGGGCAAAAAGCAGTAAGACTTCCCCTCTGAGGAGATTCACCTAAGAAAAATTCCTGATGAAACGTCCGATTTTTCCGATTTTCCTGATTTTTTCCTGATCAGCCAAAATTCCTGATATTTTCCGGTTTAACCTGATGCTAGACACCCTGCTGTAGGTAGCTGTAGTGTACTACAAAACACGACTGTATACAAATCTTTCTGATTTTTTGCATGCTTTTTGGCCCAAAAGGAACAATTTTGCAAAGGAAAAAAAACAGCTAGCAGTAGAGTAACACATTTGCGGAGAACATTCGAAATAATGTGCTGGTATTGGCTGCGTGAAGTTCTGCTAAAATTTGATAAAATATTCAGAATATGCTGTACCTAGAGCTGGTGGTAAAATTTTGTTGGGTGGTTGACCAGGTCCAGGAGGTGGTCCAGGCGGGGGATGATGGGGGGCTGGTGGTTGTTGTGGCGGAGGAGCAGGACCCCACATAGCAGGATCAGCACCACCAGCTCCATTCAGGCGCCCACTTATTCCACGAGGATCTCCTCTCATCAAACCAATTCTATCATCAGCACCAATGCCTCTGAAGGAACAAACAAACAAAGGATTTCAATCAGTGATGTCCATCAATTAAATTTACAATGAAAACTGACGCTGAATTACTAGTACAGATGGCAAATAATTAATTGTGGTATTTTTTTTTCTTCCAGTTTAGAGGACCAGCCAAAATTATTCATATAAGATGAAGACTTTGGGCAAAAAATAATAATTTCACTTGAGGATAAAAGAGACCTCATGCTAACGGCCCTCATTTAGTATCGATCGGAGCTGAGCCAAGAATTTTACTTTCTACCTACTCGTACCTCCTAGTTAAGTACTACTAGTAAATACTATCTACATAGAAATATTACGTTTTGACAGATCATTATTCATCTTTTACATAAAGGAGATATTTGCATCTGACAACAGTTTTAGAATAGCATTAAAAAGATTGAACAAAATACCGCTCCTTTACAGTGAGGGCATACCTCCATTTCCATAAGTCTCTTGAAGGGTGTGGAGTTAGATGGACAATGGAGCTTATCTCAAAAACAGTCAGCACTTGCATCATGAGGAGCAGCAAAATATTACTTCAACCTAGAGTGCATCGATCGACAGCTGGCCCATTGCTTAGCACAAGACTTCCAGTTGAATCATGTTGTTTTACATGCGACTTTTGTCAAATATTCCCCTACCCCTAAACATTCACAGGATGCCACTTTCCACTTACAACACTCTTATCATTCAACACCCAGTAGAGTTGAGAAAAGGTAAGTTTTAAAGGAGAAAAAAAGGAATAGTTGTTCCTTACCTGTGATCAGCTACAGCCATACGATGTTGATCTCTTGGATCAACTTTTGGAGCAAGACCGCGGGAGGGGTCATACGGCCAACCGGCATTGTTTCCACCCCACTCACTACCTTTTTTGTCTCCACCTGCACATGAAGAAATTTAATTAACATCATTGAGGTCAAAATTTAAGCAGAGATATATAGACTTTGAGAGATACAGAGTTGCTGGCATTCGGGTAAAAACAATGGAAGACGGTAGGTGTTAACTGACTCTGAGCATTATAAGAAAACAACTGATATGAGGTTAGCCTCCACATGAACAGGCATTTTTGTTCATTTTCACAGATGAAAAATTAGCTAAATGGTTGCTGTGCTTGTGGTATGCATCATCTGTGTGGCATCAATCAAAGGAGAGATAAACATGTTTTATTCTTCATGGGAAACTCAGTTTCATGAAAGAACAATTGATACACAAGCTTCATGAGAATGAAAGATAAGAGCAACCATCAAGGAGGGCAAATCTTTGAGATTCGAAGAGCAAAGATTCTCAGTGGCGAAGGTCATTTCAGATCATGAATTACACAGCACATTCAAAAAAAGATTTAGTACCTGGCCACATGGGATTGTTGGGGCCGCCTGTCCATTGCGGTTGATTGTTTGGAGGAACTCCAGTCCAGACATTGGTCGCTTCGCTACTGACATCATCATCTTCGCCCCACGTGCCACCAATATTAGTCGTGGGAGTATGGCCCCATGGTGTTTTGGGTTGCGGTGGAGCTGCAGGCTGACCGCCACTGCGCAAGTTGGCTTCCCAAAGCTCAGTTCCATTATTTATATTTGGCTTCCATGCAGGTACTGTTGCACCGGTTTGATCTTTAGCAACTGGTTCTGGTGAAGGGGAGACATCCCAACCACTGTCTTGGTTCACATGTTGCTATACGACGAAAGAAAATTTTAAAAAATGTATCAGTGTGCAATTCAAATAAGGATCAAGAGGGATCTGACGGGAAAAAGGGTCTGGAAGTCAGTACGTACAAAACGAAGAAACTGACTTAAGGCAGTGTTGGCCCTTTATAGCCAGCCCGAAGAATTCTAACAAAAAAAAACCTTCACATGAACACAGTAATGCTGTTTTGGAACAATGATTTCCCTCTATCAGCATCAGGGATTTAGAGCTGAGGTTTGAGGGAGCATCATAAACGGAGCCGCATCGGCGCGCGAGGCGGAGGCCCGGCGCGGACTTTCATGCCGCTTCGATCAGTGCGCCGGGGGAGCGCATATGCCGTTGAGGCGGCTTCACCTGGTGAAGCCGACTCCCGGCTCCTTTTCTGATGCTGCATCAGTTTTGATGCTGAGTCCAGCATCAAAATTAGCGGCTTCAATTAGCAGACGCGTCGGACGCCAGCGCCCCGGGCCCGGCTGCCGGTCGGCTAACACCCTTCCTCGGCGTCCACTTCTTAGAACTTCTCGGCAAGGCGTGGGCCGCCGCCAAGACAAAGGGGTGTTCCGCGAATTCATCGCCGAGTCCGAGGGTCGCGGTCTTCTGGGACAGCCCCGTCGGTAATTAAGCTGGGTGGCGGGTCCGAAAATTGAGGCCGTATCGGGCCGCAAGCCGACGGTCCGGCCTCAGAGGCTGAGGCCCATGTTGGTCCCTGAGCCAGCATTAAACCTCAGCATCAGCGCTTGAGGCTGGCTCGGTCGGCTCTCCAGCATCGGGCTTCAATGCCCGAAGCCGGCGGCCGGCAGGTTGAGCGCATCAGGCTCCGAGCCGTATGCCCGAACGGCCGCTACCTGGGCATACGGCATTGATGCTGAAGCTACGAGTCGATGCTGTATAGCATAACCTCATGAGGCGCCTCAAATGCCTGATCAGCATGACATGACTTACTGTCTCTTGCTATTCATAAATTATGTTACACTGAAATCCAGAATTATACACCCCTTCTGTTTCTGCACACACCCATCAAACAGATCTGAAAACACCCCCCTCCCCCTGAATAAAATTATGTCACTCTTTGCTTAATAAGTCAAATCTCCCTCTTTTGCACAAAAAAACAACAACAAAAAATTGACTCCTTCATTGGATGATATAACTGAACCAAACAAAGGAAACATTTATTCAGAGCCAGCACATTACGCGGACGGTTGCTGGACCTGACACAGTGCTAGTGTCCTCTCCTCCCAACCTGTGCATCAGTATCATTTCAGTCTTTTTTTGTCAACTATTTTGATCCCAAGTTTAAGAAGAATTATTCAGAACTCAATTTGCTTGGTACTTTAAGAATATGAATTGAATAAAATAGGCGTCAATAACCCATTAAATGGATAACGCACAGAATAAAACAAGTTAGGTAACATTTTCCTGAGTTGGAGAAGACAGGCACAAAACTGATTAATGATATAAAAATAAAATTTAGTATTCCTCCTCAAACCTTATCAGAATCTAAATGTAGGATATGATTGCATGTGTGTTTTAAGACAGTTCTCTTTTCTGCTCGAGAGGATTTACTGTCCATGGAAAAGTATTGCTGTTAGGGGCCCTTCCACTATTTTTCATAAATAATTGCACAGAGAAACTTACTCCTCCCCAACCATCCTGACTGAAGAGGGCTTCACGCATAGAGTTGAGCTGCTCCAACTGTTGCTTCGTCGAGTTGTTGTTGGTGGTCGATGCTGTTGAAGTCATGGGTGGTGCAGGAGTTGTGGTAGGTGGTGCGTTGGGAAGGTTCTTGCCAGCAGCCTGTGCCCAAGATGTGGTACTATTGGCTTGAGAAGTGGCCGGAGGTGGCTGGCTAGTTGACTGGCGCTGATTGTTGCTACTGGTACTCATCGCTGGGTTTGCTTTAGAAGCTGTTCATGAAAAAAAAGAAACGTCAGTTAGATGGGCATAGAAGATCACAGTAACTTTGGCTCAGTCATAAAATAATACACGATAATGCTAAAACTGGATCACTTGTGTGTTGAGCATTTCTTTTTTAAAAATATTGAAGTAAAGGTTTGAATGAAATGATCAATAATTATCCGGCTTACATCCAGTCTGATAAATTTCAAACGTTTGCAGAAGGCAATTCATTTGAAAATGCTTCAAATCGATTTGAGAACTGGCAGTTAAAATTATTACGGCTTACTCAACATCAATTAATAAAGTGCTTCCTCAAATCTGAGTAGGTACAGATATTTCATTTTAATCCATCAAAGAAAATATGTATGAAGAAGTTGAATATTCTTAGTGATTGTTTGGTATTTGTTTCATTGCTACAGTGGAATTTTAGGAATAATGCAAAAATAATGATCTTACCATTGTTTTGCAGATTATTGGTTCCTTGACTAGCATTATTTGCCGGTGGCTGACGGTTTTGTGACTGAGATTGCGAGGATGAGTTGGGGGAATTGCTGTTGCTGCTATTCCAGTTGGCAGGAGGTCCTGAAGCAGTCGATGTTGGTGGTGGCTGAGCAGCATTGGTCGGTGCACTCCATCCACTTGGTGGGGCGCTCGATCCTGAGTTGTTGTTGTTCGTTCCCCAGCCCGAGTTGGTGGAGGTTGCTGAAGCAAGCGAACTCTCCCCACCACCCACCAATCGACAAGTTGGCAGGATGTTCCACCTCAAGTGGTAGTCTCGAATAACATCACAGTCTTGAAAGGAGTTTAACGGGGAATTCGTTAAGCGGTGATTTAGCTTAGAGTTACCCTGAAGTAAATCACCTGAGGAATAAGGCTTTGTCGTGGTATTTAAAATTGCTATCCACTCATTTGAAGGAATGTTTTCCGCATTGTTCGTCGTCACATTATTAGCATTACAACTAGTAGTATCAACGGACTTAATCCTATGCTTATCATTAATAGTAGAACAATTATTAGTAGTAGAAGACTTATCCTGAGCACCAATGTCAACCGATCCTAGGGTCAAGGCTTCTTGCCTCATCATTCTTTTTTCATCGCAACAATCGCTATCAGTTGAACCGACAGCTTTTGCTTTCAAGCCCTGTTAAAAAAATAAAAACATAATTCAGTATTTCAGACTTCATTAGAGGTAACTACTAGTTGCACTAAGCACTTCAAATTTAGAGCCAAGCTCATGCCTTTGAAACTTGACTTGCCCCAAAGATTACATTCATATTGCAACTGCCAAAAAGATTGAAATAAGTTCGGAAACTTAAACTTCTTTCAAGTCGCAAATACAGATGGAAAATCAATTCCTGAGTTTACGATACAATTTTTCTAGTTGCTTCGAACACCTAATTCTGATTGACCTTGGAAGTTATTCCTTTCAGATGAATGTTTTTTTCTGAAAAGTAAAACCTCCAGGGTGACACATAGGGTTATGACACCAAATTGAACCTGCAAAGATTCCCTGTAAAGCTGCATACTTTCTAAAATTTTTAATAGAAAAACTGGTTTGAGGTTGAACTATTATGAGGAGAATGAAGTTAAAACCAATTGAGATCAATCACTCAGTTTTATTACCTGTAGCGTGTAGGACGGATCTCCACTACAAGTTAATGAGCTGGTTATCACAGTCGAAGGGAGGAAGTGAAAGAGGCCAGCTCTGCCTCCATCACTCTCCGCTCTGTGCGGTGATTTGATTTTATTCCTCACAGCAACGGCAGATGTTTCTACCGCATTCATTGTGTCCTGGAAAAGGAAGAAAATTACAATTAAAGACTGAAATTCTCTTTTAACTGAACAAAGATTTTAATCAAGTACCAAAGTAATGAAGAAAATCAAAACTTTATTAGTATTCCTCGGAGTACATAGTGGGACCTAGAATAAACTTTAAAATTGAGGCACTGGATGCGAAAAGGTGTGAGGAGACGCCCAATTTTCCCAGACAATTCATCATTACAGGGGGAAATTGGCAACGTCAGGAGGAGCACTGACTTCAGGAAAAACGCTGATGTTCGCTGGGAAATGCGCATGCGCGCCGCCGGCCGACCCGAGCTTAAGGAGCTGGGCCACTTGCTCCGACGCTCGAGGAAAGCCAGTCTACACTACACGGACATCTGGTGCTTGTGCTGAGGGCTCAAGCCTGCACTTGCGCGTCATCAACGAGCCGATAAGTCAGACGAACGACTCTGGTTCGTTCTCAACACCGTCCATATTTTTTGAATCTTTTTTCCACTTTTGCTATTCTTTCTGTGCCTTGTCGAGCCCTTTCATCTGATAGAATAGCCAACTCAGACAATATATCGAAATTCAGTCAAAGACAGACCCTTTCTCTCTTTATTGACTACGTCTTTCATTTTTTGGGAGGGGTCAACTACTGCCCCCCAAAGAGCACCCACTGTTGTGTTGTGTAGGTGGTCTGCACGAGATCTCTCTCCATAGAGAGACCACGGGCGACCACTGTCCGACGCAACAGTCCCCCTGGAGCCTTGGGACGTCAGCTCGAGATATCTCTATTTTGAGACGTCCCGTCGGCTGATATCACGACGCTCCAGCTACGTCCCCTTATCGACCCGTAATCAGGGTCATCACAAAGGGCACTTCTCAATTGCGGTGTTTCAGAATCTCTGTTGCCAATTAATCCCTTGGAGAAGACTTTAATGGGTGATTTTTCCAGTATTCTTTCCATAGAAAATTGTAGAATCATAAGGAATATTCAGTAGAATTTTGAGTGAAATGGATGCTTTCACTTTCCTTACAATGAATGAAATATTAGAGGAGACTCTGAAACACTACAACCGAGAAGTGCCCTTTTCGCATTCAGTGCCTCAATTACTTTCAAGAGCCTCAGAAAAGGGCCAACTGAGACCTGCAAGAGAAGCACCCTGCATATCTTCTCCTAACCTAATTCCCTCAGTAGGAGATCCTTGATCCTTGACTGTTAGCAAGTCCCTTTCGAGCATTAATGACATCTATCTGATGGCTTGGCAACTCTGAACTGTCATCGAGTGCTGAACTTTCCTGTTATTTCTTTGGTGTGTAATTGATTAATTTTCATCAGACAATGAATTATTTGCCTTAGCGGGAAGTTATAGCTAGTTTCTTCCTCTCATTAGCCAAAACGTTACATGCAAAATACCTTAAAAAATTACTCACCCTACTATTAGGCACTTGGTAGGTAGGAAGATTCCGATTTTGATCGGCAGATGCGTTCACTGTCGTGGACATCTCTCCTTCCTGCATCAGAGAGGAAAGGTTATTAGATACTTTTCTAACTAATTACTTACTATAACTATACTTTTCTAACAACTAAGAAATTGGAACAACTGTTTTCAGAGAAGGTTATCTTTCATGTAAGGGAAAATACAAGAACAGGAAGAAGAGAAAAGTATAATTTTTGGTTGTTGTTGGTTCGGCGATCTACTCTGGGTATTCAGCCTGAATTTTGATGGGACGATTGTCATAAGTTGGCATATTGTGGGCGCGGCCCAGTGACAGCTACCCTGGTATTGCATTGCAATACCGGCGCAAAGTTTTAAATTCTTGAGTGGTTGATGTAGAGTAGAATTAAATAGTCAAAATAGGGGGACACTCATAGTAGAGTACCTGTATAGCGAGAGTATGGACAGATGTGAAACTCTGAAAATACATCAGGCCTTCACCAATGCTTCTGCGAATAAAGTTAAGGCCCAGAAATGCAGCCAACCTATGAATTTCAAGTATCCAGAGCGATTTACTAATACTATTGTTACGAACCGTCGTTTATTAAGCACATGTTTGACTCAGTTTTTGCATGAATTTACTCAATTTCGCGGAAGAACGCTCATTTCTGTACATTCTTGGCTATCTTGGTTAGAATTGGAATCTGCAGACTGGCAGTGAAATTTTGTGCGTTAAAAGTTGGTTAGAAGGGTGGCTGCACTTTTGGGCCCTAAGCCCTCCATGAAGCAATCTGTCCATACTCTAACTCATAGGTTAACATTTCCTTCCTTCCCCTCTAGCTGCTTACTGCAAGAGCTTCGTAATTTCTTTGGGTTATTAGCAATTTCACAACGTTCGGTATGATTCAGCCATCCTCTCACTTAAATTTATGTAAAGGACACTGATGAATGAATGAGTTGAAATTTTGTAGAGGGAGGAGAGAGAAGAGTTCATACCCATTTTATTAAAAAATGCAGACTGCAACATTTGTGCGAGGATACTGCAGAATTTAATGAAGGGAAAAATGGCTTCACACCTCGGAAAAAGCCAATCAGTGCAGCAATTATTGCCCATATGAGACAAAAATCGGATTCTGAAATTTTGGTGGAAGACTCTCTCTACTGACCTTCGAAATTTATGATGATCAGTAAAGATCATTTCCTAACCAATCTAAGAAACAAAAGTAAATTATATTCTGGCAATTTTAAGCCCTGAACATGGCATTTGAGAACTTTCACAAGCTATACAAAGTACGTTTTTCAAACAACTAACTCCAAACTAGGTACTGTAACTGTGGTTGAGTTCGTAAGGCCTTGGCAAGTTTAGACTCCCTCCTTTCCTGAAGCAAGACCTTAATCTCTCTCGCATAGTTCCCAATTGACAACCTCAAAGTCACCAAGCAAAACTCTCACAGAGAATAAAAACAAAATTTCCAGTAGGCTCCGTCTAAAAACCCCTAATTACTAAGTTGACTGTTAGCTGAGTGTGTAGACTTCAAAATGCATACCCCTCAAGGATCTTAAACTGAAATAAGAACTAAATTTATGATCGAGAGGATTTCAAGGACAAATGTACAACTCATGAAAGATATAAACAAGTTTTGGCGAAGCAATGAAACAAGAGACAAGCATTAGACAACTATTGTAACCGTTACATTTACTTCGGCGATTTTCGACTGTGTTTTAGACAACAAAGGCGTTAGAGTATGAGCTGAAAAATGATTTTCGGCATATGAACTGAAGGGAAGAACTAGCGAATCCTGAACCTTGAATGTCTACACGATACTTATTGGTCTATCTGCATGTCATGGGTGGCGATTTAACTGCAGAAGTAAAACAACCAGTAATTTTGTTGCGGACAGCATTCACCAAATAGAATTAGCAAATTTTTGGCTGTGAGTTTTTTTTCTCTAAAAATTCCAAAATATTGCTAGTGTGTGGACAAATTTTTCGTCCAGATGAAGGAGCAACAATTTATTGCAAAGCAATTTCTTTAAAATCTGACAGTCACACTCGTGCATTCTACGTTTTACATGTAGAGGACCACACTTTTAGAGTTGTGCAACATGGATCACTATTTGACTCAACTGAAGTGCGGAGAGGTTTCTTGGCATCTCATTCAGAAGATGATATTTTTTTAAAGTGTTCCATCAATTGCTTCCATTCCAAAAAGGAGAGCGCTTAAATTACAGAAGGTTAAATACCGACTGATTTGTTGCTTCCTTCGAGATTGGCCGAGAGTGAAACATGATGCAAGGGTGCAGTAACTTCTCAACAGGGCAACCAGCAGATGGGATGCAAAAACAGGGTCTAGGAATCGCACTTTTTAAAAGCTAAGGTTGCAAAAAGGAGCCTTAAAAATGGAAAACGCTGGCTCCATCAACGGAAAATTCACATGTTTTTCCCAACGATAGTTGAATGAATCATATTTGACTATTACAGACTGCCCCTATGATTTATTAATGGACTGGTTAACTAAGGAGCATAATTTTGATCAGAAATTTCTGTGATTTTTCCTCCGTTTGAAGGATATTGTATGAAAGTCTTAATCAATTCATTTGGCTTTCTTCTCTTTGAGAAAGTGAAATAGTGATACTGCCATCCAAATACATTAATTCCTTCTCTGCCACAATTTAACAGTTACGCTCACTTATGACGTGCACCAAAACCATCATTGTAGTGCCTATTGTACGATTCTTAAAAATTCTAACTTTGACCCGCGGAAATTCTCTTCAAGAACTCTTCCTCTGGAATTCATCAGTGTAAACTCTTTGTAAGATGGAATTTTTTGTAGATGATCTATAACATAACAGATTACTTGCGCACCTTAGTGAAAAAAATGAAATAATCTTCACTCTCACACCTCTGAACCAGGAGACATCATCAGTTTCCTCTCGAAGAAAAGAACTTGGAGGAGCTGAGTGAGAATGGAACTGTTGCAAACTTTTGCTAGAGCAAAAATAAGAGTTGTTCCGTATAGAATATGTCTCAATAATCACGATGAGCTTGTCCGCAAACTTTGAAATGCACTCCTAACTTCACAATCTGCCTAAGAAATTTGCGTTTCTTTAAGCTTCCCCTTTCAAAAAGGATACTACAGCACAGGTGAACATTTCGATAGAGGAGTCCTTCTATTCAATCCCTGCTCAACATGGCCGACGCATCCGCTCGCATGTTGAGGAGAGCACGAGGTCAATCAAGCCAGATATCTATCAACGCGAGAAAAATGTGAATGTAAACAAGCAGATTGTTATCAGGTGGTTAGAATTTTCGTCCCGTTACATGTGTTTTGGCGAATTGGCGTCGGCTATGTGGAATAATGCATAGTATCCTTGTGAGCAGGGTTTTTTTTTTTTTTTTTTTTTTTTTTTTTCCTTTATTCAAATAGGGCAGGGGTTGGATGGAGTGACTCCTCACACAAAACGTTCACCTGTGTCGTGGTATCGTTTTTGAAGCGGGAAGCTCAAAAAACCGCAAATTGTGAAGTAAGGAGTGCATTTCAGGCTTTGCCGATGCCCTCATCAAGATTTTTGACTCATTCGTTATGAGTAACAACTCTTATTTTTGCTCTGGCAAAAGTTTGCAATAGGTCCATCAAGTCAAGACTAAAACTCTGCCGTGTTACCAAGAGAACGGTGAGTACATTTCTGTATAAGCCATGGTTAGCACATAGTTTTTGTAGTGGCTTTAACTCAATTACTGTCTTGTGTATTTTCTTTGGTAATAAATGAAATCTAAAAAAAAACTAAAAAAAGCACATACATCAGCACATCTGTCTCAATGCTCATTCTAGAATGCACATAATGTTTTTTCCGTAATATGGCAGAACTCCTCATTTGGCTGGGTGAATTCATAAAATGAAAAGAGGAAGTGAACTTGTCAAAGGAAGGATATAAAGCTATAAGCATGAGATTTAAAAACCAAAAATAAGATGAAGAGTGAAACAGAAGGGGAAAGGAGAGCGAGGGAGAGAGGAAAAATGCAAAAACCAAATAGAATCCTGGAATTCTTAAAATAAGGGCAGGTCAGACCAATCTTTATAAACTGACTACCCTAAATTAAAGTAGAAATTTCTATTTCAAATGCTAGTGGCACACCAGTGAAAGAAAATAATTCAAATGAAGAGCGAACAAAAATGCAAGTATATTTTTCACTGAATTGACCCTCTACTGCAAAGGTGTCAGACATTTTAGTCAAGCGATGTCAAGTGATGTTCATATTTTTGAGCCCAGTTCACAAGCTGCAAAGAGGGTCATCAATGAACCTCACATTGCACAGAAGGCCACAGAGAGGGCCAGAAAAGCATTGAAGCCTCCATTTTCAGCAGGTAAAATAGGCATCGTAGAATTTTTTGAAAATTCAAATCCAACACCTCATGCTGTCCAAGATGGGGGTCAAGACAACTTAACCACCTCTAAAGAAGAGTTTTAAAACGTTGGGTATTCATTCTCTTACATGTAACATAAGTGGGTTAATTGTAGTTGGGATGTCTAGGCTTTATAAAAACCTACAAGCTCTCGGAATATTGCCCCTGAAGTTAGAATTCTCATCTTAGGCATGTAGTACGAATGTGCACTTTACCATGCTGATTTGGGAAAAACATCAATTTGACCCCTTGAATTTGACTAATTTGAGAAGAAACTTCATTAAATTAGAGATCTGAAAGAAAGCAGGGCCTTCCCTTAGGTGAAGATGCCTGCATATCCTTGAAAACAGGTAAGGAGCCTTTTCATTTACAGTGATTCACTCCCGCAAACACTTCATTCAAGTTTTACGACTATACTGCCTAACATAAAATGAAAGGTGGAAAAAATCCTGGTCACAGAGACAAAATCACTCAATCTTAGTGAGAATACCTCCAGTAAATTTTCACCATGACATCACAGAGCTCTCTTGTTGTATGTTGACTAAAGTCAATATTTGATTAGTTGAGCATTGGCAGCACTCATGAGGACAAAAAATGCAATCAGATGGCATTATTGATGGATATTGATGCAAACAAGATTTGACTTATGTCTGGACATAATATGAACACTCTTGAAGATACTTGTAGTTTGAACAGGGGCACCTGAGTAACATTCATATCATGTTCAAGCTAGTATGAAATTTCATGTTTCCACAACCTAAAAAAATAGAAGATTGGGGATCCATGGCAACAACTATTGAAGTTAGAGCATGATGCAGATTGTCGATAAGAAACTAGTGATTGGGGAGTTCACTAGCATTTATTCTGGGAACTGATGTTCTTTTAAGTAAGAAAAATCAACTATGTAAATTTGGCATTTTCCAGCCTTGAAGCTGTGGACATACTCGATTTAAAGATAGGTTCCCAGCGACTACAAAATTATGCGGAGTATTGCCATCTTAATCTCATGGAGAGAAGCAACCACAAACAATTCTGCCCATGGAAAAATTAGTCAAACACGAAAGTGTGAGACAGAAGAAACAAGGATGTGTCAGGATAGTAAACACTTTGAGAATCCTTACCTTTATTGACTAAAGAGCATTGCATTGCATTCCATACTGGCAGAGATCTAAAACAAAAAAAGAGAAGAGGAATTACTCATTGAGAAAAAATGAAGGGCATTCATCAACTAAAGGTTTCTTCTTTTGATACACACAAGACTTACAACATTTCTTTGCCGTCACTCCCTGGAGAAAATAATTTCTTACACTAACGCTTGGTTACAGAAATACAAGATTTTGCCCTCGATTTCTATACTACTAAAATTTTACCTGTCATAAACATTAGCTCAATACCTCTTTAACCACACTCCTCCATCATCTTGAGGATAAAATGCAAAAGAACTCAATTTTAAATGCAAAAAGATACATTAAAACCTGTCCAATCCAATTAGCATAGCTCTCGTGGTTTCATCCCTCCTCAATATTTATATATTTCTTGCATTCAGTTGCCTGCCTTCTCTATAATTAGCTCTTAAAGCTGGAGTTCCTTTAACCGAATAAGTGACCCCCTAAGAGAATTCCGAAATCCTACCAAAATTAAATTCATCCATCCATCAGAAACATCATCAAAGAAGATCAATACAATGCCATAGACTTGGATTGATTAAATGGAACACAAATAATTTTGACTTGACTCATGAAGATGAGAATCACTTCATAGGCATGCCGCCTGCATCAATCACCGACTAAAATCTCCTATCAGACACTAAGAGTCCTCACCAAATAGGCTTACGCAGTTCTTAACTACAACAGAAGATTGTCTGATGTCACTTAAATATGTTACTAAAATGCAAGAAGCAAGATGACGGATTTTCTGTCGGAGCCTGAAATAACGTAAACCTACTTGGCTGTAACTCAGTATCAATTACTAAAAAATGTTATTGGGTATTGATACACATGATAACAAAATGACTTAGAGAGGTGCTCAGAACATTCAAATAGGTGAAACTACCAAAACAGAGATATTTACAGGATAAAAACTTAGTGATAAGCACTAAGCATAGCTAGGATTGAAAATAAAGAGGTCATTGATGGCCGCCATGATTCTTGTACACATATCTGAAAATGCTTCATGAATCAAAGAGGTGCTAGAATGAAAGTGCATAAATCCTGCTTAGGGTTCAGAAATAGAAGGCAAGTGAGAAAGTTAAAACTAGGTTCTCAAAACATCCTCTTCCATTCTCAGCTTTGTCACAGCATCTGAAGGGAGCTATTTAAATTACTGCTGCTCAAGGAGGACATCACCTAACATGGTTTTCAACCCAACCTGAGTTAAAAGAAGTGAAATAAGTTGAAATACTGACTGATACACACGGTACACTAGGGTCGATTAACTCAAAAGAGGAAAAGGCTACGTAAACTTATAATAGCGGCGCATTAGAAGGAATTAACTCGGAGACATAACTGTTGAATTTGCCCGAACGGGATGGCCAGGCCGAAAAATTCAGAGTGATAAGCAGACAGATAACCTTCAATCCAAACCTTTAGAGTGAGACAGCGAATTAGAACTTGAATGAGGGGGAAATTACCTGTGGTTAAAATTTTGTATTTCACAGTAATTATCACAATATTTGTAAACACTGCACAAATTAAAAGCACAATTCTATGGCTTGCGCTTGACATTCGCTTCCGAACACAACACACAATTTAACAGTTAAAACAGTAACGAAATTAAACACAGTTTTACATATTTGCTAAAAACACTAAAAACTAAGCGTAATCGTTATATTAAGAGGTCACATCAACAGTTGAAATGTAATTAATCACTTGCTTTTAAAGTAATGAAAAATTCATGTTTTCATGGCCGAAAGAGGAAGCCAAAACGGAGTTGTTCAGTTCTCGTAGGACGATGTCCTATTCACGGACCCCGACTAGACTCGCCGCTGTCACATTCACGGGCTTGCCTCCCTGACGCTTGTTACGGCGCAATTAAAAAACGTGGAGGCTCCTTGGAGAAAGGATATTAAAAGAAAATGAAAGGAAGCAACCTGGGACATACCAATGTCTGTTCAAATTTCAAACAAAAGTGGTTAACAGCGACACTCGGAAGGAACCATCACGAAAAATCAATCCTGTATTGATCCAGTACGTGGCATGTTAACAACATTGGCTTTCACAGTGGGCGCACCGCCTCCCTGCAGCCGGGGGAGCTTGGACGGAAGGGATAAGGGAGGAGAGGTTTATTTTCGCTCGAGCTCCCTAGATGTCATAATAATCAACGAATCTATCTACCTTTTCTTATTACTATCTGCCTATATGTTATTTATCGCTATCTACATCTATGATCTACATATTGTAATCGGGCCAATAGCATACCTTCTTATTGTTTCCGTTCAGAAAACCCGAGTGTAAGTACCCACAACCACACGCTAACGGTGTTTTTGTTTTCTTTTTTTTTCTTTTTATTAGTTTTATTATTTAAGGGTTGATCCTAAAAATCTCTAAACTAATAGAGGTTATAATACAATTTTTTTTTACCTATTGTTTTTTTTTTTTTTTTTTACTTATTTCTTCCTAAGGTTGTTTTCATGGAAAGATAGGCTAAGATCTGCGTACATAATTCCGACATAATATAACAATGAAAGCTTTCCGCTCATGAAAGCAATCGATATGCACGGAAAGGGAGCGAAGGAGAAGGTTGTGAGGTTCGGGTGTTGTGGGACTGGGTGACATCACGTTACATGGCAAACTTTACGGGGTCCGCGAGTTGCGCTCGCAGGCGCGGGAGCGTCTAGGGGCCCGGGGG